TCCTGCTCACTTCTGCGGCCATTATGCGGCCCGCGGAGTAATTATGCAGTCGCATAATAGACCGCATAAACGCACTTTTTCGGCAAAAATTTTCCTTTACTTTCCTGTGCATTGTTCAACCCAAACACGTAAGCATAGTCCGGCACCATGAAACATTATTTTCTTTGCAAATTTTACTAGGCCTTACACTTAAGTACTTTGAAATTTTCCGGGGTGTTACATATAGTGCCGGCAACAAGGCTCCGGCTATACCTCAAAATATAATACACACAAAATAAAAAATGCACGACCCCGAAATGAAGTGGGGCTCACCAAGTCAACAGGGAAGAGAGTGTACCATTATCACTGGTCAATGTCTTCCGCTGTGAAACCACCTGCATCCATTAAAGATGCAGCGCACCCGAAAAAAAGGACGTTAGTACTAGTATGAAAACCAAATACTTGTGCAAGGACTTGGAAATACAACATGAATTCCAAGGTTAGACCAGCTACATTATCACCCGGTCTTCTTTTGCTATGTTCTCTTTAAATAGATTCTGCTCTTTGCAGATATGTATAAAATAGTCATTCATTTTTCTCTTCAAGATATTCTACTCTTCATTAGTTTTAAACTGTATATGGTGCCAAGAAATGTGCAATGACATGTATAGCGGGTCTGAACTGTCTGATCTATTCTTAAGTGCTTATTAAGAATGATAGATGGTTAGTGTAATCAAGACTGAAGAATCAGAATTGGCCGGTAAGAAAACAAAAATGTCATGGAATAGAAATGTTTTTTGTTCCTCCAATAAAATATCGATAAGTATTTTCCTTTAGGTTCTCAATTTATCTAATTAACCATAGTAGCTGAATAAATTCAACTGCATCCTTTACTATTAACAAAATAACATTTGTTTCTACTTTGCCTTCTGTAAATTTGTATCTGCTTATAAGAATTCAATTGAAAGAAATATATGATGGTGCTTAAAATAAAATATTATAAGTATCCTAAAAGATGAATTTAATATTTTGAGTAGAACACAAGTTCGTATTTCTAAGTTTCCACATTAAAATTGTTGCTCCATAAAATTAATTTAAGATATCAGAAGAAGACAAAATACACAAGCGGTAGTAAAGATGAACATATAAGGGGGCAAGCGCACAGATAGTCATTCTCACGGATGTTATTTAGTAATTAGTCAGTACTTATTTTGTCCTGAAATGTTAAACTAAAAATCTTGACTTCAGGACAACTCAGAAAATTTTTCTCCAGAAAAATTGAACTGAAAAATTAAAATTCAGGATGCACTGGCTAAATTCTAAATAGCAGTTCTTTAGAGTGGCTACCTGGTGTCATTTTTACAACCGAAAACTGATCTTAATGTATTTTTTTAAACTATTCTTAGCCTGTTTGAGCTATTAAAAAAAGAAATCTGAAAAAGGATAACATGATTGAATGGTGATTTTATGGTATTTTATATTGGAATTTGAGCAAACTTCATTTGTAGCCATCCGAAAAAAACTAATAACCATAGGTAGCCACAAAATAAACCATACAATTAACAACCCAAAACTAATTAAAGGGCTAGCCCAAGACCACTGCCACTCTTCCCCCTCTCTATGCCATCCTCCTCCGCTCTCTCCATCGTTCCTCCGCCGCTGTCAGAATTCAAATCACACCATCTGTTCATCCTCACCCAACACCATAACCACCACCTCCTCAAAACCCTAACTTCCTTCTCCCTCAGCGATCATACGCATTTTCCTAAGCCGAAGAAGCCGTTGCCAAACGCCATTGTCGCAAGCGCCGCCTCCGTATTGAACCACCAATCAACGCCATCCATCGTGATCCACTCCCTAGGGGACCTCCTTCACCTAACGACCGCTGTCATATCACTTTTTTGTTCTTCTATAATTGAATCTCTGCCCACTATTCTCTCTTTGCTTACATAAACAGTGGGCGTTCCCACAAAATTTCTTCTTCTTCAAGAATGCTCCAAATAGAGGGAATATATACTATTCGAAATTAATGTTTATTATTTGGTTAAAAAATCAAAATTATTCAGTTGACTAATAAAATATTTGGGAAATTTGCACTATTAATCCCTTAATTATTGATAAATTCTAATTTATTCTTTGTGGTATTTGATTGGGTATATTTAGCCTTCAATTATACTAATTTATATACAAAAAATAGACAAAATAGACTGTCACTATACAAAAAATATACTAAATAAACTGTCACTATACAATTTATATACAATAGACTGTCACTATACAAAATATATACAAAATAGGCTATCACTATACAATTTATATACAATAGTCTGTCACTATACAAAATAGATTATCACTATACAAGAAAATATACTAAATACACTGTCACTATATAAAAAATATACAAAATAGACTGTCACTATACAAAAAATATACAAAATAGACTGTCACTATACAAAATAATATACAAAAGGCCAGAGGGCCATTTCGTGTCCATGGAAAAAAATATGGGCTATTAAAATTTTAAGGGGCTATAGAGGATAATTTTCTCTTGAAATTTTGTTATATTTCTATTCTTTGGATGGTATTTTAATAAGTTAAAAAGAGTTAAATAGTGTCACACAATAGCAAACTAGATTTACTGTTCCAAAAGTCTTGTTAAAAAATAGAGTGAAATTAATTACTAAAAACTAGAACTACATTTGGGTTTCAAGAAATAATTCGATAACGTATTTTATAGAAAACTTCAGTAATCTAGAAAAAGAAAAGGACTTCCTCTTTTTTTTTTAACATTTGTTTGAAAGGCAACACAAAATTTAGAAGTATAGAATGAAACAATAGTTGTTTTCTTTTACGTTTCAGTGATTTGGAAGGATGTCTTTTCGACTAAAAATGTTGAAAACCTAATTTGATGGTTTCATAAGTTAGCAACTTCAAGTAATATTGTAAACGTTATTTTTTTTATTATTATTATTATAGTTTTAATATTTACATAAATTTATGTGTATATTTTTATTAAACTTGGTTTTGTTGACTTAATATAACGAACATTGTACCTAATAACAATTTAAATTTGTCCTTCAATAGCAATTAATTTTCCAATAGTTGACAACAAGTCCATCAATAAAAAGAATGAAAATGATTAATTTTTTATATCTATATTATATATTAAAAGCATGAAACTCTCAATCAAAAAGTTAAAAGACAATATTACCCTATTAAAAAGGATGCTAAATGATCGTATTGGTTGACGTCACGTATTTCCACATCTAGAGTTGCCACTTGCCACCGATCACTCTTGACAGTTGACAAACCCAGCACCTAAAATCTAGAACATGCACAAGTCAGTCTATTAGATTCAAGGTAAATATGACCACCAATAGTTTCAAATTTTGCTTTCCAGGTTCTTAATTTACTAACGCACTAGCATTTATGCATCAATTTTCTCATAGTCTAACTCCTCTCTGTTGGAGTACTTTATTAAGTTATTCACATTAATACTAAAATTATTATACTAGCAGTAAATTTTTAAATTTATTACTAATACGTGTTTATATCATATCTCTTTGTTTTCATTTTGATGAGTTTATGATATATGAGCCCGTGTAGGGGCCTAGATAATATTTGATTGGTCATTGACTCTGAATTTTAATTTTTCGAGGTTTCAAGACATTCACAATCTGAACAATATATCAAGATGACTAAACGTAAATATAACCTTTTACTTTGTCCTTGTACGCACGATGATTTGTTACTGGTATTAAGTGTAAAAGTCATTCCGAAGAGTTTGCATTGCATAGGTATAAGTCAAATGCTAAGTGAACAGTGGATGCATGCTCCATGCGAGTATGAGTATAGAAAGTGCAATGGCTTTTTGACCAACGCCACTAATCGTTGGATGTACTCCTGCATTCCTATTACTTTCTACGGATACAAGCGGACAGTGGTGTGTTAGAAATTCATTCTTATATTATAGTCTTAGTTTCGAGAAAAATGGACAGAGACTTAAAAGGATCAAATTTTTGTGTGTGTATTAGTAATTTAATAACAATATAAAATATTTAGAAAAACAGAAAATATTTTGAAGGGTTGTGTACTGTTTTAAAAGGTGTATTAATTATATTTGGTAACTAATTAGTTAACCATTGGCTGGCTTTAAGATTGAAAACAAAGCCTTATCTTTAAATCATGTTTAAATACTACAGCAACCTTGATTATATCTTGCTGTCATTCTCCTTAATTAAATCTTTTATTCTTCTTATTTTGCCATACTCCTCCAATAAAAAATATATTCAACCAATTTTACATTCACCTTCAACTTCAAAAACTCCTTTTCTTCCTATTGTATAGATCACTTTGGGACTCAAATGCAGACCCGTCTACTTGGGATGGTCACATTTGGGAAGCTTATTATTGTGAGATCAAAGATGGTCTTCTATAAAGCAACATCACAGTAACGTTGCTATTATCAAAAGTGTCCCAACTTAAGTAAGAAAATTGCTTTGTTGCGTCATTTCTCGAAGAGACTTGCATAGCTTGAGACGATAAAACAGGCTTCACGTTCTCACTCAATTTATGATTTATTTAACAATTGCCTTTCCTCTGTGATTTTGTTATTGTCATGTCTCTATGAATGACATGGTAGAAAATTTTAAGCTGTGATCACAAAGCATATATTTTGTTTGCATGTATGTGATGATTGGGAATAATATAGGCTGATTAAAGATAAATTTGTTATTAATTTTATCAAATGAAATTGTTTCTCACACGGCCAAATTGACATTTTACTTTCAAAAGGGTTATCAATGTCAATACCAAAAGTTTTGATCACGCTAGAATAACCTAAACAAATGAAAGGAACATAGACGCTATCGTCTATAATGGAATATTAGGTGAAAATACATCTNAAGTAAAATTTATTTAATAATATTAATGTTATGTTACAAAATCACATGTACATAACTCGACATACACGTGCAACGCACGTGCGAAAAAACTAGTTTATTTAAAAGGAATAAGTTAAAGAAAAAACACCCATAATTTTTTTTTATACAAACTAAAAAAGGAAGTGCGTCATGAAACATGTAGCAAAAGTCTCCATTAGTCGCTTATAGACATACCAGTTCAGCAAAGATATAGAAAGCTATAAAGACTAGAGACAATCATTTCTTTTTCTCTTTTCCTTTTCTGCTAATAAAAAGGTAATATTATGTTTTCCAGCTTGCACACTTTGACGTTATACACATTGAATTAATTATTTTTGAAAGTGGTAAAGAGTAAAGTAGTTTCTCGAAAAAAGAAATTGACACTGATTTGGGTTCAACATGATACTTACAGGGGTATTAGAAGGTAGGTGTAAGTAAAAGCATCAAGTCAGTCAGCATCCTGCTGCTTTCAAGAACTTGTCATAGGGGCTTGAAGGCGGCAACCTAAAAGACTCTTGTCCATACTCCCGTGAACATGAGAGAGAGTATTGTGAATGAGTTTGGTGAAGCTCCGTATCCTGTCAACACAAGCAAAAGGAACAGTTTAAAATATTTCAGGACCAGGATGGAAACTTCCTCATATAACACAACAGAAATAAATAAAGCAATATCCCTGCCGTTACTCAGCTTGCTAAAAAGTGGAAAACTTAAAGCATCAGTGAAGATCCTTCTATTTTTCCACATTATGACCTGTACAACTTACTTATCAAAGTTAAAGGATGTACTAGAAACCATTAATGGGGCATTGATCTTCATCTTCCGTACAGCTAATCTGTACATTTACTTGGGCACTGATGTGTGACGGAAACAATCCACATCTACCTCCTTCAGCATAGGGAAGCAAATCTCTGTACTTCATAGAGATGGTGCCAGAAAATATACCTCGTCTCCCAAGATGTTTAGATAGTTTTCCGCAAATTGGCTAACCTGGATTCAGCGACATCAAGGCTATTCCAATTTTTGTACTCCTACTTCAGCTAAATATAGCATATAACGTCCCATAAGATACATATAAGCTCTACAAAGTCCTAATATGATGATATATTGAAAGATTAACTCACAGCTTTATCAAAAGAAGAATTCATCAAAAACTAGATAGAAGTAAATCCACATTCTTCATAGCCAGAAAAGGAAAATTAGACCAAATCAACTTTTTTTAAGGTTAGACCAGTATCAGTTTTCTTGTTTTTGAAGTTCCCAAATACTTGAATTGGTAGCAATATTCTACTCGAAATCGCTCAATGCTTTTTACCTCCAAAGACAAAAAGGTCACAAATGCTGCTGCTAAAGAAGAAGAAAGTCGCGCCAAGCGGGGAGAAATACTTCCATACAAATCTGAATCTCTTTTTCTTCTTAAATCCACTTTTTAAAATACAAATACGCTTCCCTCGCTGCACACGCTTCTCGCTTCTGCCCAAGAAGCGAGCTTTTCCTTCAGCTTGCCTCGTCTCACACTGAAAAAGCTATCTACCCATCGCCTCGCGGCTTCACGTTTAAAGCGATGAAGCGATGTTTTTACAACACCGCAAAAACCATTGTGATTTTCCAAATTATTGCAAAACAATTACCCTTCACTCTTTTAAAAAAAAAATAAACTCAAAACACTGTCACTGTTGAGATAGTACATGATTTACTATTAATTAGTTGATTTCTTTTTGTAGTTATACACTTTACCAAATTGTATAAACTTGCAATTATTATAAATTCCCAACCAAACTTGAGGGAATAATTAATCTTTCCATTCTGAATTACTCTACTTCTTCATGGAACCAGAGCCATCAGCCAAAAAAGAATTCTCATATCCTTTTTCTTTCTTTTTTTTCCTCACAAAAAGGACAAAAGCCTATGTTCAGAGAAGGCACAGTCCTCCCGATTGGAAATTCCAATTAGGAGGTGTGGAGTTAGTTCTAAGCATCACTTCTCACCCCAAAAGAATCGCAAGGCTCCGACGGCCTCAAACTGAGAAGCCCATCACTAGAAATCTCATTGTCGGCAGCCATGTCAGATCAGTCTCGCTAGAACTTCGTACTTGCGCAGGCGCGTGAGACAAATTCCGATGTTTTCTCACTAGCTCCGGCATCAGTCGAATCACCATCATGGGCTCATCCCAAGTGGTCCAACCTCTATTTCTCACTAGTGCTGCTTCAGATCATCAACTCAGAGGCTTCAAAGTGGTATTCCGGCATCTATAGTGGTAAAACAGATTTGACATTACTTTTTCGGCTCCTTCAGCAGTGTTCGGGCACTCTCCAGTTATATATCATCTCTGAGATTCATTTTTCCGGCACTTCCAGATGTATTCCGGCAGTATCAATTACTTGTTCTAGCTTTTAGGACTCCACTCTTTAATTCTCAACAACAGAACTCCTTGGAAACCTCAATATGACCCAAAAAAGGTGACTCTCAGACACAGGTGAAACTAAGCCTCTTTTCCTCCCTTTCAAGTTCTCCCACTATTATCACAAGTGAACTTGGATGGTAGTAGTAATTACATGTCATGGTTTGCTTCAATTGAATTATGCTTTATGGATCATACATATGATTGATCACTTAGTTAAGAATGCTAGTGAGATTGCTACCACTTGTGAGAAATAATAGGAAAATTATATTATTGATTGATGTGTTAACTATAATTAGACAAGAGTGGGTTGCTCTAGTGATGAGCACCCTCCACTTCCAACCAAGAGGTTGTGAGTTCGAGTCACCCCAAGAGCAAGGTAGGGAATTCTTGGAGGGAGGGAGCCGAGGGTCTATCGGAAACAGCCTCTCTACCCCAGGGTAGGTGTAAGGTCAGCGTACACACTACCCTCCCCAGACTCCATTAGTGGGATTATACTGTTTTGTTGTTGTTGTGTTAACTATAATATAATGATCCTTATTTATGTCTGTCTACACACAATACATACTCTACTCTTATTCCATGTGGGACTATACTTATTTACATAACTATTTAACACTCCCCCTAAGCTGGTGCATACAAATCATATGTATCGAGCTTATTATATATGTAACTAATATGAGGACCAGTGAGGAACTTGGTGAAAATATTTGCAAGCTGATCATTCGACTTCACAAACTTTGTAGCAATATCTCTTGAAAGTATCTTTTCTCTGACGAAGTGACAGTCAATCTCAATGTTTTTAGTGTAAGGACCCGTAAAAATTTAAACCAAAAACTCGGGGTTTCGTGGTGCCAAGATAGATTCCTGCGTTACTATGGTTCGGACTTTTTGGACTGAACAGTACCCTACGGACTTAGAGGAAAATGTTTCGTAGAAGAAAGCGTTTCTGCGGCCCATTCTGCGGACCGCATAATGGCCGCAGAGTGAAGCAGTAAGTTTGGCCAATTTGAGGTCAGTTTTGCGGTCGATTATGCGACCGCATAATCGATATGCGGACCGCATATCGGTCACATAATTCCTCTTGGGATTCTACGGAGGGAGTTCTGCGGTGCATTATGCGACCGCAGAACAAGTATGCGGACCGCATACTGGTCGCATACCTGAGCCGAAAGTTTAGGCCCCTGAGGGCCATTTCTGCGGTCACTTTGCGGACCGCATAACCATTATGCGGTCGCATATGCGACCGCAGACCTGTGTCGTTGTGAGTTGTGGCTTTGGCACTAAAGATTATTAATCTAAAAAGATGGAAAGATTGAATTGGAAACTATGTGACCCTTACTTGGTGTTTTCTTTGTATTTCTATGAAACTCTTATTGATTATTATGACTGCCTTCTCTTTGTTTCACTGTTCATTCTACTAAGATTGGTGTTTGCCTTACATACTAGTACTATTCGACAGTACTAACGTCCCTTTTGCCGGGGGCGCTACATCTTTGAATGGATGTAGGTGGTTCCATCGCATATAGTGCCGATCGCAGATAGGTGGTGCTCTCTCTCTCTCCTCACAGCTGTCTTGGTGAGCCCCATTTCTCCCAGGGATCATATAGTCCTTTTGTATAAGTTTTCATATTTTGAGGTATAGCCGGGGCCTTGTTGCCGGCATTGTTATGTTGCTCTTTTGTACTCTTAGAGGCTCCGTAGACGTTTATGTGGGTCATGTATGTATGTTGGGGTGGTTCGTTAGATCGAGTTGTATTTTGGGAACTCAACTATGGCATAATGTATATAAGGAAAAATGAACTAGCAACGTTTCTATATTTATATAACTGATCCCCCCCCCCCTGTTTTACAAATGGTGATGCGATCCCTTTTTGGATTATGAATGAGTCGGGTAGGAAAGGTTTAGTAGGCATGCTCGACCGGGTTCACTCGGTTGAGCGCCGGTCGCGCTCCCCGAGGTTGGGGCGTGACATTTAGTTCTCTCATGAAATACCGGATTTGATGCAATATGAAAGGCAGATTGATTATCATACACAAGTTTTATCTGGCCGATTTCACCAAATTTCAACTCATTGAGCAACAGTTGTTTGATCCAGACTAGCTCACATGTTGCCATAGCCATTGCTCGATATTCTGCTTCTGCACTAGACCTAGCAACCACATTTTGTTTCTTGCTCTTCCAAGACACCAAGTTTCCTCCTACTAAAACACACTATCCAGATGTAGAACGTCTATCAGAAAGTGATCCTACCCAATCAACATCTGAGTATCCAACAATCTGCTCATGACCTCGATCTTCAAAAAATAATCATTTGCCTGGGGCTAATTTTATATATCGATGAATGCGGACAATTACGTCCCAATGACTATCAAAAGGAGAATCCATAACTGACTCACAACACTCACAGGAAAGGAAATGTCAGGTCTAGTCACTATGAGGTAATTTAACTTGCCAACCAGCTGTCTATATCTTGCAAGATCGCTAAGCGGCTCCCTCTATCCTGGCAAAAGTTTAAACTTCAGATCCATAGGGGTGTCAATGGGTAACCTGTCATTCTTGTCTTCTCAAGAATGTCTAAGGCATACTTTTGTTATGAGATCACAATACCTGACCTAGACTGAGCGGCCTCAATACCTAGAAAATACTTTAATCTGCCCAGATTCTTAGTCTGAAAGTGCTGAAAGAGATGTTGCTTCAACTTAGTAATTCCATCATGATCAGTGCCGGTAATAACAATATCGTCAACAAAACTTCCAAATACATACAAAGATTTGATGTAGAACGTCGATAGAACACAGAGTGATCAGCTTCACTGTGATTCATGCCAAACTCAGGAATAGCCGAGCTGAACTTACCAAACTAGGCTCGAGGAAACTGTTCTAGACCATAGAGTGACCGGCGCAACCTTGAGCAACAAAACCAAGTGGTTGCTTTAATATAAACTTCATCCTTAAGATCACCGTAAAGAAAAGTATTCTTAATGCCCAACTGATAAAGAGGTCAATAGAGAACAGCAGCCATGGATGACGGACTGATGTTATTTTAGCCACGAAAGAGAAAGTATCACTGTAATCAAGCTCAAATATCTGAGTATACCTTTAGGCAACAAGACGGGGGCCTTAAACCGATCAATCTGGCCATCCCAATAACGACAACCAACAACAGCTTTACCTGAA